GAGAAAGCCCTGGGAAATTGCAGCGGTATCCAACGGCTTGACCTAGCTGCAATGGGTTTCAGCTTCTCAGCCTCCTCCCCACCCCCTTACAATAGGTCCCAGTAATAGTTAATTGAGTCCTGGGCCCTCGGGCTTAAAACTCATCGATAGCCTTGCAAATCCCTTAATTCAGCCAAGTTCCTTGGTGAGCCTTTCTCTGTTAAGTAAAGTATCCTGGGGGATAAGAGGACCGGGGGTAGGTAGGACGGGAGGGTCTATTGACGAGCTGGCCACAGCTGACTAAAGAGATCGCGACTCCGTGTGGTATCATTGACGCCCGAGGATTGTTAGGGCGCAATCGAGGGAGACAGTTAGGAAGTGGTCGACGCCAAGTGGGTATTGATTACCATCCGGTGGGTAGCAGGCTGAGCCCTGAAAAATACTCCTAGGGAGATGCACTCTTTTTTTCTCGAAGGAAGTGGGTGGGCTTTAAGGCTTTGGTTCCAACCATCCTGCCCTCCAGATTAGACCGCGCCTCCAGGCGGCCTTGCCTGACTGGCTTCCAGTCCCAGAACTTGCCAGGTTCCAGGAAAAATCACTGGCTGCAGGGATGATTCCTGGGCACCAGTTGAGGAAGTGCGTGCCATGAGGTTCCGGAGGTGGAGGGAGGAAAGATGAGCAGAGAGGGGAGAGTGCCCTGGGAAACTTTGCAACAGATATATCTGAATCTCTCCCCCCAGTTGACCCACTGATACCATAGGATTTCAGTGCCTTTCCGGAGGAGATGCCTCTGATCTTTTACACCTGTTTTCAAAAGTATGCGAAACCAACTCTTCACCCTCTTGCTGCTTTGCCAGGAATTTTTAAAGCAGTGCTGTGGTGGTTCTTGGCTCGCTTGGTTTTCCGTTTCCTCAACAGCGTTTTTTAAGCTGTCCAAGGTACTGAAAAGTGTTCTCCTGGAACTAAGACTTAAACCCTGCTCTTACGGAAAAACGACCTGAATTTCAAATGAAATATGTTTTCCTCTCCAGTCTTTCTTTCTACTGCCCTCTTAACAATACCTATTCTCAAAGATGTTTGTGTTTTATTTTTTGCTTTATGTAGAAACAACACTACCCCTTCCCCCCCAAAAACACTTGACTAGGTGTTTTGAATCCATGACAATGGTTAGTATATACTGGTTAAGCTACACAGCACATTCCCCAAGAGCCAGAGGCAAGCAACAACTTTACACATTTTGTGTGATGCCCTTTAAATTTAGGAAGGTCCCATTTCTTTTCATTACCGAGCCAATAAGGCAGAGCTCAGGATGATTTTGGCTGCATTGAGATAACTTCTGATGATTTCGTCTCCCTTACTGAGCTGATGCTTCTAGGTTAAACTCGTTTTATTTGCCTGTCCATTTTTAAAGACAGACTGACAAAGTTGCTCTAGCAGATCAGGGGTCTGAGCTCAGGTAGGTCAGAGGTACTCACATGTAGGGAGGTGGATAAAAATAGAAGGGGGATTGGCAGATAGAACTAGGGTACCTGTGTTAACAGTGTGTGCTAATCAAGGCCAGATGCTTCTCATTTATCTCTAGTGGGAAGGTTCTGATGGTTTCACAGGCTCAAACTCAAACCACATCAAAACTAGGTGATTTCCTCTGATCATTACATAAAAGAAAGTATCAGCTCATCACAGAAGTGGATGTTGAACCTGGGTGGTTTTGAATGGTTGGATGAGAAGAGCTTGCCTATAATGGAACCAAAGGTCTACTCATGTGTTACCATGTGAAAACTGTCTCAGCCCCCAAACCTATACCTCTCCTTGGAGTGGTCAGCCTCAATCCCAGAATACTTATTGGGAGCAGGCACAGATGGGGTCCAGTGAGCTTCCCAGTATGGGACAAGCACTGTACTAGAGCTTCTATATATTCCTTTTAAAATAGTTGCTCTGAAGTTTATGAGTTGTTTTTTAACTGTGCTTAAAAGACTTCTGTTTATCTCCAGGTGTCTGGTAGCAACACGGCATTTTGCTTGAGTCATTGATTTGTCTTAGGGAGGCTCTGCTTTTAGAGGTTTTAATTGAAAATTGTCTTGTACTAAAGTGTTTCTTGGTCTGCATGTGGATTTGTGATTTAAAAATACCGCATTTCAGTTAGTAGGAAGCGAAGATGTTAATCTGTTTGCAGAAAAGTTTTATGTAGTATTCCAACATTGAATAGAATCTTCGACTCTTCCCATCTTCAGATTGAGTCCACCATCATGACTGAAAACCTTAAGATTATACTGACTATAAGAAATAATTAGGGAGAAAAAAATGGGTTAATGGTAGAATCTTTATTCTCACCTGCATTTGAATCTTTTGGAACCCAACTGAATGTATATATATATATATGGTTTGCACCATGCCTTTCTCTGTCTTCATTTCACAAATTCCCTGAAATATAATGCTCTGAACTATTATAGCCACCTTCATCCATATAAAGAAAGGATTTTTCCATTTGGAGATAAACATACTGGAGGTGAGCATGTTGCGTGTAATCAATGTCCCACACTTCCACAGGGATCTGTATCCCAAACAGGAAATGAGGAGAGTACTTTGATGGTATCTGCCTGACTGGGGAGAAAGTTTCTATACTAGCTGGGAAAGTCACTTCATGAGGCTTTGTATTTTTTTAATCAGAAATGTGGCAGAGGGTCTGTATTTCATGTATTTTGAAGAGGAAAAGGGCTAAATTTGTTCTCTATATTTGATCTTTCCATTTTTGTCTTGTTAATATATTTTTTTAAAACCACAAAAGCCCCTTTGGATCCTTGCAGTAACCCAAAGTCATATTTCCTTGGCAACGGTTGTCAATCTATTAGAGTCACAAGATATCAAAACAGAAAATTTAAAATGTGTTTAAAATAAAATGTCACTGGTTCAAAACCATCCTATAGTGCATTAGAACTGACCTTGCAGCATAGAATCATAGCGTTCCATTGACCCTGCCTTTCTCCTGATTGAATGTAGATGGTAAAGAACAGATTTATGGGGCTTTAGTTCCTTTTTAGGGTGTCCTAAAAATTCTACAATGGCTTTTCTTTTGAGGGAAGCATGTTATGAAAATGAAGGGGGTTGGAATTACAAATCCGTTCTTTGGGTAAGGTATTTATGTGGAGGTTGGTGGTCAATCCAAAATCAATTTCAATAAGTGGGTCAGGCAAGATGTGTAGTCTTTTCTATGCTACTTGAAATAGACAATATATATAGTAAGGCGTCAATTAGCATCAAATTCAACCAGCGGATATCTGCTGAAACTTGTGACTGCATAATTAAACATAATAGTGCCTGTATATACTTTTAGTCTTTTCTGCACTAGAAACCTCATTTATGTGACAGCTTTCTGTTTAGTCCATGAATTACTAAATATCTATGATGTGTCGTATGTTTTCCCTCTGTTGGCACATCCCAGAAAGTCCTCTGTGTGGCTGCTATATTCTTGAGAAAGCCTCTTGAGAACCACTAGCTTTGAGCTCAGTAAATATCGAATGCCTAAAGACAGGTCTTAAAAAACCATAAAGTGATAGGATGACTTATTTGGGAAGGTTTATTGTAGTCCTGTGATTTTAGTGTACTCATAGGAGTGGGGGAGCCCATCTAAGCTGGCTGGTGGTGCGCTCACTTCCAAACCGTGAGCAACAACTTTATCACTTTAAATCTATGACTCTCAGAACTGGAAGAGAGCTTGGGGGTAGTCTATTGATTCTAGCTGTTTAATTTGACAGATGGGGAATCTGAACCTCAGAGGTGACTTGCTCAAGATCAGGGGACTCATTCAACAACCCTCTTGATTACTCCTGTCATAAAGACACTCAGGTTCCCTGGAGATAATTACTGCAGTGGCGCCAATCTCTGGCGCCCTGTGTACTGATAATCTTTACTGAGTTGAGGATGGCGGTGGGGGGGGGGAGCGGGGCTCCCACCTCCATTGGAGTGTTTGGAAGAGCTGGCCTGGGACTTATTACATTTCTTTTTCTAGGAGCCAGTGCAATATTTACCCAATAGATATGATTAAATTTGTACAAAGTCATTGTCTGCAGCCGTCCCTGTTAATGTGCATGTTTTGTGAAGAATTGCTTATGCACAGTCTTAGCTTTCTATTTTAAATGTCACAACTGAGTCAATAAAGTAAACCAAGAGATTTTATGAGTGTTTACAGTTTCAGGAACCCACAGGGGGATCCTTTATTCTGTTTTAAATTAAAGGTCCATGCAAAAAGAGCAAACTTTCTAAAATGTTGCTTTTCCATCTTTGGTTCAGACATAGTATTTCCAACTTTGTACTTCGTATTACTTAGAAAACTAGAGCCCTTGGAAACATCAGGGGAAAAATACAATATTTCAGGAGAGTTCTAGAAACCTTCTCAGGCTTAAGGTGTTCTGGCAAAAAGACCTTCCTTATCCAAGAGATCCCAAACCCTTGGAGGCCAGTTCATTTCCCTTTGAGGAAGAGGAGGAACAAAACCAGGCTGTCAGGAGCCTAAGGCCAGCGCTGTCCAAGGGGCTGGGGAGGCTAGAGGGAAGGCAGGAGAGAATGGACGTTATAGTGGACGGTCGCTAGAGGGCGCCGGAGCATCGGCGGAACCCACCTTCCGGGACCATGAGCTGGATTTACAGGCTCAGAGATGGGGTGTGACAGGACCCCAAAGAGGTGCCCAGGTATGAAGTATTGGTTATTTGGGTGCCTCTGACCCTCCAGCCTAGATTGCCTCACTGCAGAGGGTAGCGGGGGAAGATTTGGCCTTCAGCATCAGTTGGGGTGCTTCCAGTGCCTGGTTGGGTTGTCCATTGGCTGAACAGTCTGACTACTCTCACTCAGGCTTCTTCTGCCTGACAGGTGTCTGGAGCCTGGCTGGCCTTAGTTCCCCCAGAGGCCGACCTCTGGATCTGGAAATGCCTGGTATGAATCTTCAGTTTACAGTTTTCAAGCTGCCGGCTTTTGAGTGAATTACTTGACCTGCATGAACGTTAGCATCTGGAAAATGGAACTGGTAGAGGTTGTGAATGTGGAATGTTTAAAAGTGTTTGGTAGTTTAGCGGGCTTGTTCCTTTGCCTTTTCTCTTGAGAGTTCTCCCCAAACTTCATTCATTCCTTTCCATCTGAGCCTCTTTCTCCTGTTTCCACACCCTTCCCCTTCCATTTATCCATCTGTAGAATAATAACTGATCAGAGCCATTATGCGAAAAGCTATCTTAGGCGCTGGGGATAAATGTGAAGTCCACATCTTTTGAAGTTGCAGGCTTGAGGGGCAGATAGGCATATGAGAAGAAACTTCAAACCCATGGTGGTAAGTATGAGGAGAGAGATGAATAAATGATTTGGGGTAAGAGATACCAGAGTCATTTGCTTTGTCTCAAAGAACCTGGAAAATGGTCCCTAAAGTCCTTTACACGCAGGTGTTTTTTCATTTCCCTGTATTTAAAGATCAATGTCTATGGAGGGTAACGCTGAGGGAGAAGAAAGGGGAGAGGAATCTCCCTCAGCATGTACTTTGATTTATGTATATATATTTAACGTGCCAACAGACGTTCTTAAATCCAGTCAGTTTGTACCACTGCCCTGTATGTATTAATTTCATTAATATCAAAAGATAAATGCCTATGTAATTGACTTAATTCATTGGAACAGGAAAATGATGTTTAAAGGAAACGTAATAGAACTAGAACAACAAAATCCTTACCACTAAACTGTGCACATGGAACCACCTAAATAAGGATTCTGTTTTTAAAATAGTGAAAGCTGTATTCAGTACAAATGTGAACAAAAGCAATAAGTACAATCGAATGGTTGAAAGAAATGCCTTATCATTATCATAAAGCAACAGAAAAGATGTAAATTTTTTAGTAGGCACTGGGGACACAGGATGCCTGATGTGATGTCTTTGTTATATTTTGTGCAGTCGTTTCAACAAGTAACTTAGAGACAACAATTCCAGTGAAAAAATGGGACAGTCAGGGAGGTTTGTTTCTGAGATCGTGCTGATGTGACACCAGGGATGGGCACCTTGGGCCATGTGTCTTAATTTTATCTGGCCTGGTTGACGATGAAGCTCCCGAGAAGCCGTGGTTGTAATTCTTTTGTTGGGCGCCCGTTAAATTCTGTATTTGGGTCAGTACGAAGGTACTAGCAATGAGGAAGGAAGAGGACTCAAATCTAGGGTGTGTGCACCCCAATTCTAAGACCAGCATGTTATTGTCAAATCCATGTTTCGTATGATCTTCATTTCTTATCCATCCTTCTATTTCGGCTTCTCTCAATCAAGATGGCTCAGATCCTCTTTCTTAGATGCCCTCAGGCCTGACTGTGCTCTAGCCCCTGCCACGTAAGATCATTATACATGGGTGTGCCCTCTCCCTGGGCGCATTATAAACTTTTCTGAGTAGCAGCTGTAGAGTGCACTTCTTGCTATAACTCCAGAGTACCTAGAACCTTCTGGTACATAGAGTACTCCCTCTGTTACCCTGTGCGTGTGCCCATTCCTTCAGTATATATCCTGCATCCAAACCAATTTTGTGGGTGGCTACAATGCACATTTGACTTACTCAAAATCAATTCTACACTCTCTGTAATGTATTAAAAATACTTATATTTGATTGCTGTATATTATATAATCTAAGTTAACATGTGAAGTTGTGTGGATATATTACTGTACAATATTGTGTATGTAATCTAATATATACTGTACTTGATGAGCAATCTATAAGACTGTTTTCAAGGATCATTATGGGAGTTTCAATTTATGCATTAACTTGGAGTCATAGCCCCTACCTAAAATGAGCTCCATTGTATTGGTAAGGCTCTTCTCTGTGTTGTATGTAGGTAGGTAGAATTGTTAGTGAAGGACATACATTTTGAGACAGGCATTCCTGGGTTTGAATCCCAGCCCTGCTTAGTCTCCTGAAGCTCAATTTTCACAGGTATAATTGAGAATAATGAGAATGCCTATGCCCTAGGGTAGCTGTGAGCCTCCAAAGATACGTGCACATCTATAGCATCCTAAGTGCCTGTTTGTACTGTGGGTACATGGGAATTGCTCAAATTATAACTGTTATTGGCTGGTAGCATCTCGCAAAGATTCGAGCTTATGAGTAATTTCCCTAATGGTAGTGGTTTGCTGGGTTGCAAGGGAGTTGTGAAAACTAGAAGTATGTTTATGAAGGTATGATAGAAATCAGCAATCAAATGTCTGCTTTCCATTGCTACTGACGCAACCATTTACCTTCCTTCTCTCCCTCCCCCACCTCTGTTCCCACCCATAATTTTATGCCTAGCCACAAAGATGGCTCTAGGGTTATGCTGGGGCTTCTCTAAGGTATAACTTCCTCTGTTCCTGCTGGTTCCAGCTTTATTTCAAATGCAAAGTATGTTTAACACTGGCCCCCAGATGCACAGCCAGAATACAAAATCAGTCACTCCACCCTGCAAGGCCCAGCAACTGATGTTTATTGTATTTGACTTTCTGCATCTCCTACCTTTGTCCTAAAAAGATCCCAGGCAGCCAGCAATACAGAACATGTTGGGTGCTCTCTGCTATCAAAGCCCAAAATACTACCATAAAATACTCTGTTTTTACAGGGAGACCCCATGCATACTTGAAAGCCATGGTTCTCATCCTTGAGCATGGATTCAAATCTTCTGGAGGGCTTGTTACAACACAGAATGATGGTCTCCTCCCCCAAGGCTTCTGATTCAGTGGGTCTAGCGTGGGAGCCAAATAATTTGTATTTGTGACAATTTCGTAGGTGATGCTGCTGCTGCTGGTGTGAGGATCACACTTTGAGAACCAAATGCCTTAAATATTCACTTTATATAGACAAACTGTACATTTTCTCTCCTGTGTGGTACAACTAAGGGACAGCATTAATGGTGAAGAAAGGGATCTGACATTTACTGAGCACCTATGACATGTGGCAAGTACCCTACTAGGCACTCTATGCATATTATCCTGTTAAATCCTCACAGCTGCCCTGCCAATCAATTCATAATTATTTATTGAGATGCTGTCATGTATCATTCAATGGGCTGTGCTAGGCTCTGGGGATATGGAATGAATAGAATGAGCACAGACATCACCTTGACCTTCTGGATAATATATTTCAGCAGGGAAGCATCCTTGAACAGATCATTGTAAGAGCGATTAGTCTGATCCATAGAAAATGGAAGACCAGAGAGGCTAAGTAACTTGGTTAAGGTTACACAGCTAGTAGGAGACAGCAGACAAAACAAACTTGAAAACCATTTTACTTCCACTAGAGGGTCTTAGACTTTATGGTTTCTGGACCCCGTTACACTTTCAAAATTAATTAATGACTTCCAAAGAGCTTTTGTTTATTTGAGTTAAATCGATCAACATTTACT